CATAAAACGCAAACCAGCATTCAAAAAAACAGTCAGTTCTTTCCCACCGTATCACACACTTATTTTAAATAATTTACTTTCATAGAATAAGAAATTAGTCATTACGAGTTGTAATTAGTCATTATGAATTGTAATTTGGTGTAATTACTGACAACATTATATATAGTATCAAATGCAATGAGAAAGGAGAGAAGCCAATTTTTCAGACATGGTATCATAAAGGTTCGATCTAACCTGTGAATCCTTGTTCTCTTGGCTAAATAGTGACACCCAATTGGGTCGCTCTTGAAATCAAGTTTCTCATTTGTATTTATGGAAATTGTGTTTTTCAATTGAAAGTTTTCAGTTGTTGTCTCGTGATTTTTTCATTGTTGTTCTTTCGTGATTTTGGTTTCGTGTTTATCGTAAGTTGTTTCAGTGATCATTGATTGTTCGGTGCTGCTATCATATTGTGATTTACGACTCTGTTTCTTATTCTCGACTATTTTGCTCGGTGATCATTGTTCTTGGTGATTTTGTTCGGTGATTATGGTTTCATTGTTGGACTGTTGGTATTTCTTGATCTTTGTTTCATTGACGGTGTTTCTCGATCGTGGTTTAGCTACAGTGTGGGTTTACTGGTTTTCTTACCATTCTTTTTTTACTATTTATTTAGTTTTTATTATTAAATAAATAAATAACAAGAAGAAAGAAAAGAGCCAACTTATTTGTTGCATGTGCACCAAGGATTTGGATTTATCAGTAAAAATGGGTTATTATATCATGGCTATGGAGAATGACAAAAATTACTTTTGTGTCCGTTTTACCGTTAAGAATTATCCAATTTGGGGATTTAAGTTTAAAAATTATGTGAAGGAAATGGGATTATGGAGTCACCTAGACGATATCTCTAAGGCACCTACGGAAAAGGTTGTGTGAGATGCATGGGAAACTAAATATGCTCAAATAATCACTCGGATCCTGAGCAATATTGTTCCTCAAATGATCAATAATTTTAGTTCATTTTCAACTGCTCAAGAAATGTGGAATCATTTGAAGCATATTTACAACCAAGACAATGCAGCCAAACATTTTCAGTTGGAGCAGGAAATAACTAATTACAAACAATGTACTTTATCTGTTCAAGAATATTATTCTGGTTTTTTGAATATGTAGATAGAACACTCTTTTCTTATACATGCCGATGTTCCCAAGACTTCTCTTGCGGATATTCAAGAGGTCTACAACTCAAGTAGCCGATATCAATTTCTCATGAAGCTTCACCCAGAATTTGAAATTGTCAGAGGTGCTTTGCTGAATAGGAACCCCGTTCCTTCTTTAGATAGATGTGTTGGAGAAATTCCGACGAAGGAACATCATCTTATTACTCAAGGATATATGTCTAATGAAGTTTTTATTTCCGAGCCTATGAAGGTTGCATATGCTGCTCACAGTAAAGACAAAGATCGTGATATGAGACAAATTCAGTGCTTCTCTTGCAAACAATTTGGACATATTGCTCGTTGCTGTAGTAAGAAGTTTTGTAATTATTGCAAGCAGCAGGGACATATTATCTCTGAGTGTCCCACATGTCCTCCACGACCAACAAAATGTTCGGTGCAAGAATTCCATGCAATTACAAATTATGCAGTTGGTCCTTCCAATGGAGGCATATTAAACGATGGTGTTATACAACCGGAACTAATTCAACAAATGATACTTTCTGCTCTTTCGGCCTTGAAAATTCAGGGCAAGTCTTCTAATATTTCTCGCCTATAGTTTCTTGATTCTGGTGCATCAAATCACATGGCAGGTTCCTCTGAGTATTTGTAGAATTTAAAATCTTATCATGGTAATCAGAAAATTCAAACAGCTAATGGAAATACTTTATTTATCACTGATGTTGGTGATGTAAACTCTGACTTTCCAGATGTTCTTGTATCACTTGGACTTGCTTCCAATTTATTGTTTGTTTGTCAATTGATATATAAAGATTATGATGTTAACTTTTCTAGTACTGGTTGTCTTATGCAGGAGCATGTGTTAGGGAAGGTAATTGCGAAAGGGCCTCAAGTGGGAAGATTTTTTCCAATACAATTATTTTCTAATGATTTATCTCTTGTGTGTAATAACGTTTTGAATTCTTATGAGGATTGACATAGAAAATTGGGTCATCCAAACTCTTATGTTTTGTTTCATTTATGTAAAACTGGTTTGTTGAGAAATAAAATGTCATTTCTAATGCCTCTGTTTCATGTTCTGTTTGCAAATTGGCTAAAAGTAAAACACTTCCTTTTCCATCTGATGCTCATCGTGCCTCTACTTGTTTTGAGATGATTCATAGTGACATATGGGGAATGTCTCCCGTAGTTTCTCATGCTCAATATAAATATTTTTGTCACGTTCATTAATGATTATAGTCGTTTTCGTTGGATATATTTTCTCCGTTCTAAATCTGAAGTGTTTTCTATGTTTAAGAAGTTTTTGACATATATCAATTTCAAGCAAGTGTTAAAAAAAATTTCTCTGACTTTGGTGGTGAGTATATGTCTCATAAGTTTCAGGAATACTTTCAACAAAAAGGCATCTTGTCTCAATGATCTTGTTCCAATACCCCTCAACAAAATGGTATGGCAGAATGTAAGAATCGCCATTTTCTTGATGTAAAATACACCTTAATTCTCCAAGATTATGTACCATCCTGATTTTAGATGGAGGCTCTTTCCAGAGCTGTCTTCTTGATCAATCGTCTTCCTTCTACACTTATTGATCTTGATTCTCATTTCTTTCGTCTTTTTAAAACTCATCATGATTATAGTGATTTACATACTTTGGGTGTGTGTGTTTTGTTCACTTACCTCCTTTTGAAAGGCATAAGCTTGGAGCACAGTCTGTTCAATGTGCATCTATGGGATATAGTCACTCTCATAAGGGATTTGTGTGTTATGATGTCATTAACCTTCGTTTTCGCATTTCTAGGAATGTGACATTTTTTTGATAATCAGTTTATGTTTCGATGTGTTTCTTCTGTCATTAATGATATTGTTACTATTCATAAGTTTCCTCTTATACCTCAATCTATATAACGTTATAAACTAGATCATGTATATGTCATAAACACATACAACATGTTTCCACAACCCTTCTCGATGTTGAACAGCCACCTGATCCTGTACCGGTTAAACCACGATGTTCTGGTTGAATATCTCATGCACCAGATATATATTAACCAGACATGTATGATTCCTCACATACTTCTCTAATTGTCACACTATCTAGCATATATATTCCTACTTGTTACTCATAAACTGTTAAAGATGTGCGATAGATAAAAGCAATGACTAAAGAGCTTCAAGCTCTTCAAGATAATTTCACATGGGGTATTGTCTCTTGTCCTTTTGATGTCAAGCCTATAGGTTTCAAATGAATGTATTCTGTGAAATTGAATTTGGACGGGTCTCTTAACCGTTACAAGGCTCATTTGGTTGCTTTAGGAAACAAGCGGGAATATGGAATTGAATATGATGAGAAATTTGCATTTCTTGCCAAAATGACAATTGTTCGCACAATCATCTCTATAGCTGCTTCTAGTGGGTGGTCTCTTCATCAAATGGATGTGAAGAATGATTTTCTTCATGGTGACCTGACTAAAGATATTTGTATGACTCTACTTTAAGGCTTATTCTCTTCATCTAAAGGCGTGTGGAAGCTCAAACACTCCTTATATGGTTTAAAACAGACACCTAGAGCATGATCAAAGAAATTCCGCTCCACTCTACTTGGAATTTCATTTACTCAGAGTCAGTGTGATTCCTCTTTATTTATTCATAGTACATCTGTGGGTATTGTTCTGTTTTTTGTATGTTGATGATATGGTTATTACTAGTTCCGATCATGCTTCCATTCCACGACTTAAGCAAAAATTACATGTCTCATTTCACATGAAAGATCTAGGTACTCTACATTATTGTCTTGGTATTGAGTTTCATTATATATCCAAGGGAATCTTTCTTCATCAACACAAGTATGCTACAGATTTGATTTCTATGGTCGGTCTCGAATCGGCTAATCAGGTAGATACTCCTCTTGAGGTTAATGTTAAATATCATCGTGATGATGGTGATCTTTTTCTTGATCCTTTATTGTATCGACAACTTGCGGGTAGCCTCAACTACTTGAATATTACTCACCCTGACATATATTTTGTTGTTCAACAAGTAAGTCAATTTATGCATTTTCCTCGCCATCTTCACTTGGTTGCGGTTTGTCGTATAATTCGCTACTTAAAGGGAACCTCTCACTGCGGATTATTTTCCGTTGGAATTTCTCTTCAATTGAGTGCTTACAGTGATGCTGATTGGGTAGGGTGTCCTGATACTCGTTGATTTGTTACTGGTTGGTGCATGTTTCTTGGTTCTTCATTGATCTCTTAGAAAAGTAAGAAGCAAGCAAGAGTTTCTAAATCTTCTACTGAATCAGAGTATCGTGTCATTCTCGCTACTTGTTTAGAAATACTTTGGATTCATGGTCTTTTGGCTGAACTTGGATTTTCCCAAACAGAATCAACTTCACTTTATGCTGATAATACAAGTGCCATTCAAATTGTTGCAAATTTTATTTTTCATGAACGCGCCAAACATATAGAAGTTGATTTAATATGCGACGCCTACGATGATCGAATGACATCACTTCCTCACGTCAGTACTCAATTACAGGTTGCAGATATTCTTATCAAAGTTGTTCCATGCCACAATATTAGTTTCTTGTTAGCAAACTGATGTTCATTGACCAGTCGCATCAATTTGAGGGGAGGGGTGCTAATTAGGAAATAATCTTTACATTTATTGTGAATAATTTGCTTTTATAAAATAGAAAATTAGTCATTACGAGTTGTAATTAGTCATTATAAATTATAATTATGTTTAATTACTGACAATATTATATATAATATCAAATGCAATTAAAAAAGAGAGAAGCCAATTTTCCTGACAATACAATCTACAAAATTTAATTTTACAACCTTATACCAAAATCTGGTAATTGGCAGCACAACTGAGGTTAGAACGACAGGACAATGAAGAACGTGAAACTGGAAAGATGCAACCAACAGCACTCTCTATCTCCACAACTGCTTCATTGAACAAGTCAACCTCACAAGGAAGCCATAAAGGACCATCGTTTCTATATCCATATTCATTCTCAACACCTTCCAAAAGCGTTTTAAACAAAGGGTGATTGAATATTTTAATTTTGATTATAAATCTTTGTCTCTCAGATCCAACGTAGACGCAAACACAACCGTTTGGTGGTTTCTTAGTATTGTTTTTTGCTTTTTGTGACACTTTTCTGACAATTTGTCATAGCTACAACTTCCATTGCTATCTTCTGAATCATACAACCTATTGCTGCTCCCCCATACTCTCTTACACTTCATCACTAAATTCATCTCTACTTAATAGATTAAAATCCACCACAATTAAGCAAGAAATATTAGAAATGAAAGTGTTGATTAAGAGTATGAGAGGATCCTAAGAATATGCAGCAAGTTAAGTTCCTTTTATAGATCACTAAAGTCTCAAACGGGTCCCAGCCCTAATATATTATTGCATATATTACTCTATTTTATTTTTAATTGGTCCACACGTGTTGTAGAATTTTGAATATCTTGTTTTCATACAAAGCTAGATTTGAATTTTGTTCATAAAGAATAAGACAGTATTGTATAATTCTCTCTAATATAAAGATTATTTAGAATAAGTCAAAGAATAATATGAAAAATTGTGTGGAGAAGGTGTGTGACTATGACCCTGGCGCTGTCATTTTTGGCTGACGGTAATTGAGAAAACATTAAGAACGTTCCGATTCAACATGGAGGGATTAATCGGTCAACACTTTAATTTTCAGGTAAGTTATTTTATATCGAGGATATTTACACAATTTTACCTTTCATTGCCTTGTTTTGCAGAAAAGATGAGTTGTTTGAAGATGATGCTTCATATAATAAGAATGTTGAGAAATACACCTTCACCATCCGTTGTTGTTGTTGTGCATCCTCCGATGGAGGCTCCTCCCGAAGGACACCCTCCATATTTGAGCCCTTTAGTCGTTCTACAATCATAGCAACCCAAGTTAAGAAGTCTTCCCCATCCCAGAGGTAATCAAGCCTAAGAACAAGAAATTTATCATTAACCTAAAGGTATGAAAATTTCTAGGCCTTAATCGCGGGTAGTTGGAAAAGATTCCAAGGGACGGGTGTGAATGATGGTCCTCCTTTTTGTGAGCCGACCTTTGAGAGACCTTGATATGATGCATCATACCAAGAAGGTTGGGTCCTAAAGGGAGCCATTTGAGCTCTTTGGTAGTCTTTGTCTTAAGATTTGATATTGATAAATTCTTTATTCGTAAGGCTTATTTTGGATTAGCTGCCTAAAACATATTTTCATGGTATAACTTGTTACTCTAAAGGTATTGTTAATTACTAGATCCAAGATTTTCATATATTAGATATGCTTAAGTCTATAGATATATTTAGGTTCAATATCTGTATGAACTATCGAAACTTAATATTATCGTATTGTTTAATAGGATGAGAGATTGTCTATTATGTAATATGATTGATCTCACGTTGTTGACTCAGACATGAACTAAGATGAGAGCGATGAGCGGTAATATTAATAGCTGATTAGAATTTCATATTATTTATCACAATCATACATGAAAACAGGCCGATGAAATCTAACCCCAACTAGTTTCCTTAACTGTTAAACACCAAAGTTCATTTTATTTTTTGTCGTTTTTCTTTCCGCCATTTCTATATTCACAGCTAATCAAACATGTTATAAATATTTTTTAAAGTCATACAAACTATTGAACGGTCTTTGAAACAAAAGCAGTCTATATGGTGTCGATAAAAACACACTTACTTTTGTATCTGCAACATAATGGCACTATTGTTAAGGTTTGGGATTAGTTTTTAAAGGCGTTGCGATAGTTTTTATCATTTGACGTATTCTATTTATATTGGTGTTTTTTTTATAGTTACTAGTCTACTAACAAGTTTCGATTAGTCTTTGATATTTTCTTATATGATGTAGGGTTCTTGAAGATGAAATATTGTCTTATCCTACAATAGAATAAATCACACAAAGAAACAACAGCAAGACCAGAAAAGCCAAGGTACTAGGAAAATGACAAGATTTAGATGAATCTTCTGTTTCAAAGCCAGAAACAATGGCAAACCCTGAAAATGATAACATCAATGGTTGTAGATGTCGTGCCACAACAGTTCGAGATGACTACCTCACATAGCTGGATCACAAAGAAATTCATACCAATATGAAATGAAAACAATTTTATTTCAAATTCTTTATGTTAATCCTTTTGCATGACTAGGTCATGAAGATATATATACACATCTCATAAATTTTACTAGTTGTTCGATGCACTCAGAGCTCCAAAAATTGAGGAAGAGGAAATATTCATGAAGTTGTTTCCATATTCATTTATTGACGAAGCGAAAGAATGGTACCTTGATCAACCAACACAAATGATGACCAAATCGAACACATTAGAGGAAAATTTCCTTGATAGGTTCTTTCTTCATAACAAGTCCATGGAATATAAAACAACAATTGTTGTATCCTCCCAAAGCGCAACATAAATTCTATGTGACGCGTGTGAGAGAAACAAATCCATGCAAAGAAGATTACTGGACCACTATGTTGGTGACCAATAAAGACATTGGAAATATCAAAATTACAACATCCAAAGGAATAACAATTTTAATCAAGAATGAAGATCACAAGTTATCCTTCAAACAGGCAATAGTATCAGAACTATATGCAAACAACTCCAAAATAAAAATCAACAAAGATGGAGGATAATTTAACCAGTTCATGTAGATGACACTTGCTAGCAAGTAGAATATAAAAAGCTTCCATCAAAGACCTTGTTTCTCAAATTGGCAATTTGGTTAACCACATACCAGATCAAAAAAGGAAACAATGTGAAGTTGTTACAACCAGAAACGAGAAGGGAAAAAGCACTCATAAAGAGAAAGAACGAATTGATGTTGAAAATAGGAAAGATGAAAAAGAGATAGAAGAAGAAAAAATGAAGATAATGAAAGGGAGAATAAGAGTTTAAAATAACAGACGAGGAAGAAAAAAAAGCCAAGAACAAAGTAGGAAAAGGATAAAATAAATAAATCACATGTTCAAAATCTACCTTACCCCTTTCATCCAACAAAAAAAAATACAAGGAAATGCAATATGCAAGGTTTCTCAATATTTTCAAATGATTACAAATAAACATACCATTTTCAGAAGCCTTGAAATAAATGCCCACATACACAAAATTTATGAAAGAGATCCTAACTAAAAATAGAAGTGTGAAGACAAGCTTCCTAAAGTGTTTTGATGAAGACAAATTATCATTGATTGCAAAATGGAATGACTCAAGTCAAGACCTCTTAATCAAGTCAAATGTATCAAAGTCTTGAAGAAATATTGTGTGAATAAATCAAATGTCAAGGTATAAATCATTCAACCTCTCTATATGAATACAAGTGTTTATAACAATGTTTCATGCATTCCATAAATCTTCAAACATGTTTTAGAAATCACAACTTGATGTTTCACATCTTTTCTCAAAATTAATTTTTCAGAAAAATCTTAGGGAACCCGGTTACCCAGATACGATAAATTGTTACCCTGCATCAGTTTGTAAAAACAATAGCTTCTGTCTTGGGGAACTCGGTAACCCACTTATGGGAACCGGTTACCCAATGCAAATTTTGAAATTCTGTAACATTGAGAAAGATGGTAAATGGGTATCCACTTATGGGAACCGGTTACCACCGAAACAGCGTGAATTTTTCATAGTTGTAAAATATAGAAAAGTTGTATTGTTTGATTCATGAAGCATGGCATATTTTGAAAGAATCATACCATTTTGAAAGGTTGTATAGAGGCCTATATAAACTCATCATTTCAAAATTATTTATTACCTTCTTACATCAACAATTCAAATTTACATAAACTTACTATCTTTCAAATTTTATCAAGTGTTTTATATCATAATTTTCATTTAAACTTTTTGCACTCATTTTTCATTGAAAAATTGTTCTAAGTTTCATATCATCATTGTGAACACTTGTATCCATTATTGAGAATTGTTTTGCTTGAAGGAGAAGATCAATCCAAGATTGATATATTGTTATCATATTTCAAGATCTCTTATAAAAAGTCAGATTACATTATTACTTTGCTATTCAGGATTGTTGAAAGCAAGTGTGTGCATTGAAGAGGATTGTTCTTCTTGCACTTAGTGTTCAAGATCTTAAAGGTTTTAAGAGCCTTTGATCTCCCTATAGATTATATAGTAAGGAATCACCTTTGGTGTGATTAGGTTTGTACAATCATTCTAAACTATAGTGAAATCTCTTCTGTGTTGACAAGAGGATTGGAGTACTCTCGACTTGTGAGGGGAACCAGTATACATCCGGTGTTCATTTACTTTTTGCATTTTATTGTTTTCACCACTTAACCAAAAATCATAAAAGAAAGATCAAAGATTCATAAAACCTGAAATAATTTTATAAGTCCTAATTCACCCCCCTCTTAGGCAAACCTTATACTCACAATTGGTATCAGAGCAGGTTATAGGTAACATATTCCTAAAGATCTAGAATGGCTTCCGAAAATCAAAATCTGGTTTTTAGAGATGGTGGTAGCAATAGCAAGCCTCCATTGTTTTGTGCTGAATACTTTGATTTTTGGAAAATCCGCATAAAGGCTCATCTAGAAGCACAAGGAGAAGAAATATAGGATGTCGTCGAAAATGGTTCATTTGTTCTTATAAGTGTTATAAACGGCGGTGGTATGTCAAAGATTAAAAGTTCATGGGATGACGATGATAAGAAAAATGTTCTCTATGACAAATAGGCAATCAATATTCTTTAAGGTGCACTTAGCATGGAGAAATTCTTTCGTGTTTTGACATGCACAACGACAAAAGAAATATGGGACACTTTGGCAGAAACTCATGAAGGAACCGTTGAAGTTAAAAGATCAAGATTGAATACTTTAAGTCAAGAATACGAGTTATTCAGAATGCAGTCCAGAGAATCCATTCTTGACTTGCAGAAAATATTTGTGCACTTAATAAATCATCTAAAAGCTCTTGGTAAAATGATTACTATCGAAGAACATAATCTTAAGGTGCTTAGATCTTTAAGCCAGGAATGACAACCAAAAGTAACGACAATATTCGAAAATAAAAATCTATCTCGATTGACTTCCGCAACAATATTTGAAAAACTTCAAGAATATGAGACGGAACTTGGAAGATTGGAAAAACATGAAAATCAAGAGAAGAGATCTAAAAGCATTACTTTAAAGGTTGATTCCAAAGAAATTCAAAAAGAAGACAATTGAGAAGAAGACG